CAAATGGCGGGTTTTGGCGGGCTGCGGGCTGGCCCGCCCGCCAACCCGTTTTGACATCTCTACATTTTGCTAGACATAAGAAATTACCTTTTGATCATAGCATTTCTATTGCATCTTGTCCTTTTGATCTTATACATTGTGATCTTTGGATTCCATTTTCTATCCCCTCTCACTCTGGGCATAAGTACTTTCTAACAATTGTTGATGATTACAACATTGTGATATGGATCTATCTACACATCCATAAGTCTGACACAAAAACATATTTGTCTCATTTTTATAATCTCATCAACACCCAGTTTCAAAAGAAAATCGAATGCATAAGATCTGATAATGACACTGAGTTTATTTTACATGACTTTTATGCATCCCATGGCATCATTCATCAGACATCATCTGTACAAACACCTCAACAAAATGGGAGAGTTGAGAGAAAACATCAACATTTGCTCTAAGTTGCTAGAGCTTTTGTTTTTCATGTTCATTTACCTCTTAAGTTCTGGGTTAATTGTATTACTGCTGCTGCACACATCATCAATAGTCTGCCTTCATCCATACACAAAAACATCTCCCCTTTTGAAAAATTATATGGAAATCAACCCACTCTTCATCATTTGAAAGTCATTGGCTGTCTATGCTATGCATCTACATTATCTGCACATAGGCCTAAGTTTGACCATAGGGCATCCAAATGCATTTTGATTGGTTATCATATTGGTTGTAAAGGGTATAGACTTTACAACCTGGATACCAAAAATATATTAATTTCTAGAAATGTGTCATTTTATGAGCATGTTCTTCCTTTTAAACACACTCAGTACCTATCAAACCAATCTGCTTCTCTTTTCCCTACAACCCCTTCATTTGTTTTTAATACATCCCCACCCCAGCATACGTTACACAATCCAGTTCCAAACACCTCTCCACAGCAGACTACAGATTCTAATAATATCTATATACCCTCTTCCCCTCAACATATACATACTACAAACACTTCACCTTCTTCACCTACACATTCTCCTTCTCCCACTCATACATTAAGGAGATCTACCAGACATAAAAACCCTCCAGCCTATCTCAACATATATGATCACTCCCTTCCTCATTCTACTAACTCCTCTATTTCCATACATGCTGACACTTATGGGACATCCTATCCAATCAGTGATTTCTTATCCACTTCTTCTCTATCTTTGCAACATGGTTGTTATACCGCTTCCATTTCTCAAATTACTGAACCTAAAACATATAAACATGCCAAACCTGACTTTGTGGCAGGAGGCAATGAAAAAGGAAATCACTGCTTTGGAAAAAAAAAAAAACACCTGGGAACTTGTTCCTTTACCTGCCAATTATCATTGTATAGGCTGTAAATGGGTCTATAAGGTCAAATACAAATCTGGTGGCACTATAGAAAGGTACAAGGCTAGGTTAGTAGCTAAGGGTCATACACATGAAGAAGGTATTGATTATTTTGGTACATTCTCCCCTGTTGCTAAGATAACCACTATGAGAGTCTTGATTGCATTAGCTTCCATTAAAAATTGGCATCTTCATCAGTTAGATGTCAATAATGCATTTTTGCATGGTGAATTAGATGAGACTATATACATGAAACCGCCTCCTGGCTATTTAACTGATTCTGACCAGAGAGTTTGCAAACTGAAAAAGAGTCTATATGGTCTTAAACAGGCCTCTAGACAATGGCAAAATTAACCTGTTTGCTTAACTATGGGTTTGTTCAAGCCCCTTTGATTCATCTCTTTTCATTCATACATCCACTGCTTATACTCTCATTGTTTTAGTGTATGTTGATGACATTATAGTCACTGGTGATAACTTAGATTCTATCCATGGCATCAAACATCATTTAGACACTTGCTTTACAATAAAAGATTTGGGTGTTCTTAAATACATTCTTGGAATTGAAATTGCTCATTCTGAAAAGGGTATTCAACTTTGCCAAAAGAAATATATTATGGATATATTGACTGACACATGTTTTCTTGCTAGTAAACCTGCTAATATTCCTATGGATCCTAATATGAAACTCTCTTCTATACCTGATGCAAATTCAATCTCTATTGATTCCATCATTTATGGAAAACTGGTAGGTAGATTGCGTTATGTTACTATTACCAGGCCAGATATCTCACACACTGTTCAGGTACTTAGCCAACATGTTGCGAACCCTACATAAACTCACATGGATGCTGCTCACAGACTACTCAGGTATTTAAAGGGAACTGTCGGCCAAGGTATACTCTTTCCTAGAAACTCTCCTTTAATTTTAAGAGGGTATAGTGATAGTGATTGGGCAGGATGTGCAGATACTAGGAAAAGTACTACTGGTTATGCTTTTCTCTTGGGTAATTTCTTAATTTCATGGAAGTCTAAAAAGCAAACAACTATTAGCCGTTCCTCTGTTGAAGCAGACTATAGAGCCATGGTCTCCACAATTTGTGAAGCCCAGTGGCTTCTATATCTGTTACATGATCTGCATATATCTGTTACATGATCTGCATGTTTCTCACACCGAGCCTGTTTTGTTGTTTTCAGACAGCAAATCAGCAATTGCCCTAGCAAAGAACCAGTGCATCATGAAAGGACAAAGATTGCCACCTCATTCGAGAAAAACTTGCCAAATGAGTGATTTCTCTTCAACATGTTCCCATTGAAGCACAAGTTGCCGATGTTTTAACCAAGGCATTGCACCCTCAAGCCTTCAACAGATGCCTCTCCAAGATAAACATTTTGAATATTCATGCCCATCTTACTGGGGGGAGGGGGTATTAGATATTATAGGATTTTGTATTTTTACATTTTGCCCCCTGTAATATTTTATTATGCCACTTGTAGTATAGGTATAAATAACCCAATTAGGGTTAATTTACTTCACTTTTCCTGTTCTCGCACCGCAGCTCTCTGAACTCTCTCTCTCTCTATGTTCTTCAAACAATCTTTCGTTTCTCTGTAATTTACGTTCAATGTTTCAATAAAATCATGTGTTTATGTTTTAATAGAATTTCTTCCGTTAACTGATTTTGTCATTTTTGTTTGATTGGGGCCACAGTCATATTTTGTTGATTTGTTGATCGACTCCATCCGCCTTTTCATCGAAACACTAAACGTGACTACGGTGGCGACTGTGGCGGTGATTGGTGGTCCGGCCAGTGCATGGACAGAGTGTGTGTCGAATCTGATTTTGTGTGTGTGTGTGTGTGTGTGTGTGTGAAAGGGAGAAGTGACGGGAAAGTGGATGGGTAAGGTGGTGGGTTTTGGTGTATTTTATAATAAATGTTTAAATTGACCTTAATCAGTGGTCAAATCTATGTATTTGACCAAAACATATTTATTTATTTACCACAACGCCACCACATCTTGACTGGCACATATAAATTTTGACTTGATCATGACCACTTATGTGATGAATCCAATAGTCTAAAATCATTCTTATTTCTTTTATTGTGCTTCATTCTCATTTGAGCGCACTTATATATATATATATATAATTACTAGCTAAACATTTAATAAAAACTATTTAATTATACCTATGTGGAAATTTAACTTTTACCCTCAAAAAATCGTTACTTTTGATTTATTTAACTTTTCATTTAGTTATTCGATAATGAACACACTAATCACTTTAAAATTTAAAAAAAAAATCATTTTAAAATTTTGATTACTGACAATTGATCATATAATGTGTTGACCGGATAATGTTATTAGATATATTATTGTGGTTACATTTAATTTTTTTTTGAAAAATAAAAAACGTATTTGAAATTCTAAATAAATAATAAATAATTCACAAAAAAATACATCTAAAAATATACATTACATCCAATCTAATAAACACATTTTTTTTTTAAAAAAAATATTCCAACTCTTTTAATAATAAATTTGGCGTGCAAAAAAGTGAAAGAAAAATTATTAATCATTATATGTATACAAATAACTCATAATAGATTCAATAGTAGTTTCATCAGTAATGCTCCACTAGTACAACGCCCGTATATTACACGGGTGTGTGCTAATTTTTTTCTTAAAATATAAAATCAATGAGAAAAATAGTTGAAAATCTAAATACCTTTTATATATATATATATATATATATATATATATATATATATATATTATTATATAATTAGTATGACACTTTTTATTTCTGCGACTTACATGTGTTATACTATAATAATTTTTTTAACTTACAACAAATAACTACATTAAACATAGATATATCAATTGAGAAATAATTTTATTTTTCTAATGAATTTTAATAAATATTATTATTTTTTATTATTATAAAAATAAATATAATTTATTTATTTCATATATACAATATGGATGTCAAACCGAAGATCATCAAAAGATGATTAATTTGATATATTATATATGTAAAACCGATAAGAAATACAAAAATTATCAACTTTTAAAGTTCATTTACAATTCAATAGTTAATTGGAGAAAACAAATCAAAAGTCAGGAATATATTAAAATACCTAAGTTAGCTAAATAATATTTATGGAATGTCCAAACCTAAATTATTATTTATTAATATATCAATATTATTTGTCCAAGTCTAATTACGAAGCATGATTCTTCGCCAAGTAGGATTACGAAGCACCAGAAGTAGCCACGTAGGCTCAGCGCATTCTGTAATTATATATAGGGAGGATTACTCACGGTGAGCCCATGTTAATATGCCCACCACTTATGTGGCATGCACACATTGATGATGTATTTTTTTAAACATATTAATATCAGTGCATGGTGGACATATTAACATGTGACCACCGTGGCAGGGCAATATTACTCCTAGTTTCATATACAAACCCACAAATAAATTTGGTGAAATCGGTAAGGGCGGGAATGTAAACCCATATATAATTTGCGGCAACACATTTCTCTACAATTCTGACAATCCCCCATAAAAATCTCTGAACTTCACAGTTCTCACACTGATTTTCCATCTCGAACAGAAGGCAGACGGTGAAACGATGATCTCCACTCTCAAAGTATGCAAATTTAATCTCATTAATATGTTCTTCCTTTTCTCCCCTTTTGTTGTCTCGTTCTCGCTTCTGTCATTAAGGATTTTTGATTCCTGACTTCTTCTCGATTTGGTACAGACATATTTCGGTTTCTCAAATTTCCGGCCGTACCAGAAAGCAATAGTTGAGAACATTCTGCGAGGAAAAGACTGTTTAGTGGTCATGACCACTGGAAGTGGCAAGTCTCTGAGGTATCTACTAAGCTTAGCTCGATTTTTACTCCTTTATGTTACATTTTCTTCATCTTCAAGGGGAAAAACCATTTTTGTTGAAACAATTTGTTGGTTAAGCTATCAGGTGCCACCATTGATTACAAGAAAGACCGCTGTGGTCATAAGCCCACTTATATCGTTAATGCAAGACCAGGTTTGCATATTAACCTCGTCCTTTTTCTTTATTTTATGTTACTTTCAAGTTTGTTAAGTATATCTACCATTGTATTGATTGTGTGCCGAAAATGTGAGATGCTTAGGTAATGGCGTTGAAACAAAGGGGTATACGTGCCGAAAATCTTTCTAGTGCTCAGTCTGATTCTAATGTGTATGCAAATGCTGAACGTGGTCGGTACGATATTTTGTACATGACCCCAGAGAAGGCATGCCTGCTAGGTGCCAGGTGCCTTTTCCAATTATCTATGCTTCAAGAATTTAGTGAAAACCTAATTTAATTCTATTTATTTTTTTTTTTCTAATTTATCTTCTATATTGTCATCACCTGTCATTATTCATCACTTGAAAACTGAATGCACTAAATACTACGGAAACCAAATAATTGACCCATCAACTAATCCAGCTCTTAAGTGCATATATATATATATATATATTTTTTTTCTTAAGTGCGTGATTTGAATGCGGTTTTCACCAATTAATATGATTATTATTGTTTCTTTCTTCTCAAAATTCCATTCCTGAGCTAAGATAATGGTGCTGCAGTTTCTGGTCAAGATTACTGGATTCAGGAGTTTGCCTATTAGCTGTTGATGAAGCACATTGCATATCAGAGTGGGGTCACAACTTCAGGTGAGTTTGTTATATATGCATGCATGAGTTTACTTGTAGTTTTATTTTCTCTGTTAAGAAGATATTTGATGGTTAGTCTCTGAAGCTGCAGTGCACAATAGATGCCTAACATTTTCTATAAGGTTGAAAACTTGAAATATGCGGTAGATTTAAGACATGGGGTAGGCCTCATATAACTGATTCTTCAACTGCTTTTGGTCAAGCGCAAGATGGACTTAAAATGACCGAATGGTATTCTTAACCGACCTATAGTGCTTCAAATTCTCCGAGATCTTAAAATTGCCATTTGTTGGAAGATTCATTATTCTCTAGAAGTTCCCGAACTGTCTGATCTTTCTAAAATCGCCTTTTTTTTTATTGAACTGCTTTTGATAACACGAGGTTGAAGATTTTATCTAAAGATCAACGGGCAAAAAGTTTACTTGCATCCACCTTTCTGCAGTTTCAAGAACTCCATCTTTGGATTTATTTCAAGAAATGAAAAATGTGCTTCATTTGTTAACTGAAGTCAGAGTTTTCAAGTCAGTAGGGAATCGTTCAAAGGCTTTTTAGAAAAACATTTATCATACTGACAGTGGAAATGAACCCATTAGTGTATACTTTCCAGTCAAACCTTGAATATTACAATGGATTGGTTTTTAGAAGTCATAAGGAGCATTTCCTGACCCTGCTGCAGCTTGATTAATCAATTGAAGTTTCTAATCTTTGAAATGCTTTTGATTGTTTATGTCTTGATGCATTAGTGATTGAAGTTGTTGGATAAGAATCACCTGTTCAATATTTTTTTATACTTTCCTAACTGGTTTGTGGTTTCTCATGATTTCAATTTTGTGGCAATGTGTTTTTCTTTTCTATGAGATGCTTACTGGTTGAGACAAATCTGTGTTACAGGGTGGAATATAAGCAATTAGACAAACTGCGCGATGTTCTCTTAGATGTGCCATTTGTTGGACTGACAGCAACTGCGACACAGAAGTATGCATTTATGCGGTTTCAACACAATTTTCTCGTATATTTATTCATTATTGGGGGCTCGTATAATCAACTCTATCATCACCTTAATTGTCTCTACTTTACCCATGTACCTGCTGTCATTGTAACTAGCCTGTCGCCAGGACATATGTTCACAGTGCGCTTGGAATTCAATATTCACTTATATGATTTGGTTCCATTTCGTGAAGGTTCCATGTAATTTATCCTTTTGGACAACTTCCCATAATCACCATATAGCTAGGTCCCAGATACCATATTTACTATCTTATTCTGTATGAAGAATATAGATAGGGGTTTCCTCATATTCGTGTATTTCTAATATGATTTCGTGAATCTTAGTTCTACATTAGTTTCACCTTATTTAGACTGAACAAAGCATCTAAAAAGATTATCTATAGGGACAATCTCGTTTCCGCTTCTTTTGGAAACGAGTTACATGTTTTGTTTATTATATTTTTCTATACTAGGTATCGTTTTGCTCGAATGTTTGGATAAAAAGGTTAATGATTTCCAGGGTTCGTGATGACATTATAAAGTCGTTGAAGATGAATTCTCCGCATGTAACCATTGGTTCATTCGATCGCCCGAACCTCTTCTACAGTGTCAAAAGTTTTGATCGGGGTAATGCTTTTATGAACGAGCTAGTGAAAGAAATATCTACATGTATCGACAAAGGAGGTTCAACCATTGTATACTGTACAACTGTCAAAGATGTTGAAGAGGTCATTCCACTTTTCTCAAGTTTCATATCTAATCTTTATGTTTTTGCAAGCATAAGAGTTCACGAAAATTAATGTCAGACGTCAGACATAACATTTTAACCATAGATCCGAGCGAGTTCTGTGTGAGGCCTGTTGTGTTTCATGTTGGAGTTATTGGCACTTTAATATGCTTTTTCTTCTCTAGATTTTTAGGTCCCTCAAGGAAGCAGGAATTGAGGCTGGAATGTACCATGGTCAAATGTCAAATAAAGCCCGCGAGGACTCCCACAGGTTTAACATTTTATAAATCTCTAAGAAAAATTGTTATTCTTACCTGTCTTTTCTCAGATCAATGTAACATTTTTCTTGGAAATTGATTAACAAGCTTTCTCATTTTGTTTCTCGCCCTGTAGATCACACTTTCCATGCTCATCGCTTTGTAAATTTTTTCTCGCCATGTAGATCAATGTACCATTTGTCAAATTAACAGTCCTATTGGTTCAATATTATGACCAGTTATGACTTGTTGCAGATCATTCAGCAGAGACGACTTATATGTCATGGTTGCAACTATAGCTTTTGGCATGGGCATTGACAAGTCTAATATAAGACATGTGATACACTACGGATGCCCAAAGAGCTTGGAATCATATTATCAGGAAAGTGGACGTTGTGGCAGAGACGGGATTCCTTCATTCTGCCAGCTATATTACACGAGAAGTGACTTTGCAAAGGCTGACTTCTACTGTGCAGACGCACAAACAGTATTTTTCGTTGTCTTAAGATTCTCAATAGTATCACATATATGGCCTTTGCACAGTTTTTGAATATGATCTCTGTATGTTCCGCTGATATTATATACCTTTCTGATGATTTTATTACACCAGCCGGATCAAAGAAAAGCAATAATGGAGTCATTTGCGGCTGCACAAAGGTATTGTATGCTGACAACTTGCAGAAGAAAGTTTTTGCTGGAATACTTTGGAGAGAAATACTCATCTGATAGCTGCGGTAAGAACATTATTTCCTTTTCTTTTCTGTATAATTTGTAAGACCTTACTATGTAAAATCCTCTTATTCAGTCAAACTTGGTAGTCTGCTGTGTAATTATTATCCTTGCATGCATTATCCTAAATCTTATGCCTGAGGAACAACATAATTCTGTTGTTAATGGCATTTCATGTTGTTTATTTGCTCTGGATACATGTCGTCAGTGAATAATTGGTTCTGATGTAAAATACCAAACGTATTCTGGAAAAATGAAACTTAATTTAGTAATCTGATTTAGTAATCTGAATTGTGGCACTTCTGTTGGAAAATGTGAAGTACTAAATGTTAAAAATAGTTTTCAGGGAACGCATAATTTCCATCTTTTTTATTTATAATAAAGGCTTCACATTCAATTTAAAGTAACACGACATCCACAAGAATCAATATATGTCTTGCAATTTCAAAAGTATCTTGGAAATGATCTAACAGTTATAAGTTGCAGTTTGGGAAATCTGTTCTTAAAGTACAAAGAACTAGCATGCTAAATCAATGTTATTGATCTTGAATTGTGGCCTTTCTTTAAAATTGGAAAATAAACAGTAAGATTATGCAAATTGTTTTGGGCTCATTGAGCTCATTTTGGACTGGTTTTTAAAGTTTATGTTATGCTAGAGAGTAAGGTATGTATTTCAATATTAGTTTCCAATTAGGGTCTGCTAAATATGATATATGCAGGAACATGTGATAATTGCACCAACTCAAAGAAAGAGAGTGACTTGTCCAGAGAGGCGTTCCTTCTAATGGCTTGTATTCAATTATGTGGGGGACACTGGGGTCTCAATTTGCCTGTAGCTGTTCTTCGTGGATCTAGAGTAAGTTCTCATGCCGATGAGACAAATATACACACCTAGAAATGCACGGGATTTGAGGAGATAAATAGTTCGCAAATGACCTGAGCCTGTGGGAGTTGTCAATTAATTTTTCTCCCAACTGAATTCTGAAGAAACCAAAATGGGACATAGTCAAACTTCATAATCGTTGTAAACTTATACTGCACTCTCTATTTGAAACCCTTGAAAAATCAATGCTCTGTATCCATTAGTTGTCCCTTTATTTTATGCCCTAGAAGTTCATTATTCGCAGTAACACCTTTACATGTTAATACAGTCCAAGAAAATTGTTGATGCTAATTTGGATAAAATTCCATTTCACGGACATGGTAAAGACATGCCAGCTAATTGGTGGAAGGCACTAGCTTATCAGTTAATTTCTCAAGGTATCTAGTTGTAACTTCTCTCTGAAATATATGTGTGTAGGTATTTCTTGTCAATCCAGGATATAGATATGAATTATCATAACATCTACTAGTAATTGTTTGCATCATAATTCAAAGATCATATTGGAAGTTGTTTCAATAATATATATTTTTTTTTTTTGTAACTGAAAAATCTCCATTGTGGCAATGATCCTTCCATATGGTCTTTTAAAGTTTCTGTTTACTATAATGAATAACCCCTAATTTTAATGTTGAATGTTACTTAATTTACTTTTTGGTTGAACCTCTTTTAGAAAATTAATACCAGTTTAGTAAACTTTCTAAAGATCTTTCATTGAACGTAATAAGGCAGTTGTATCTTTCTTGGGTATAAGAGTTTAACTGATTCTAGAAAACTAGAATGATACTAATGAGGAATATTAGGGGGGAAAAAACTGATACGGCTGACTAATAGGTGTTGAAATACACAAACTCTGTTGTTAGGGTGCCCAACCTTTAGCCAGCCATACTTACAAAAAATGCATACTAATACTAATATGTAATACTCTGTTTATATTGTATTTTAAAGTATGACATTTGAGTATGAAAGTATGTATTATTGAAGAGTATGGCTTCCTAACTGTTAGTGCTTAACAGAATACCTATGGGGTTAGGTAATTTGGAAAGGAGTGTTGGGGTTAAGTGAAATCTGCTCATAACAGTCTATGTGGGATACTCTTTGTCATCACAAAAATGTTGTGACTTATGACAATTCATACTTCTACTATAAAGCACTTAGATGGTTGTTACTTATAAGACTAGTTTAAATTTTAAGAATACTTAAATTTTTTGTCAAACTTTAGAATGTGAACTGGCTTGTTTAAAATGCTCTATTGGCTGTTAATTGCAAACTTTTCTTTCAAATATTAAAACTTACAAGAAATTCCTGATATCTTATTCAATTTTTAACTTATATAAATTTACTCACGCACATACTTTTTCTGTAGCATTGGGAGGTACTAGAAACTGATTACTTTTGCAGTTATTTTTCCATTTATCTGATGGACGCCACAGATTTATTTGGATTTAGTGTCAAAAGGTGTAGCAATTTATCCTAATTTGTTTTAACTCCTTTGATTGGTACTCAGCACGACTTTCAATTTGTTGCAGATTATCTGACAGAGACCTTCAAAGATAAATACAAATCTGTAAGGTAGACGACTCTCCCCTCCCCCACCAATTCCCCTCCCAAGTGAAGCGTTTGAAAAAAAATTAAATATGAAAAAATAGATTGTACATCAAGTTTTGCTGACCTTCCTTATAATAATTTTAATAGCCATAGTAACAGGCTTACAACTGATTTTAAACTTAGTGAAGAGGCTGTCTAGTAAGATTTAGTGATTTTTTTCTTTATTTGTACAACCAATAATTTGTTCAGTAATAATGATCAGTTTGGGCAGTAAGATGTTGCAGTTCAGACAAAAACACTTACAAAGTGAAACTCTTATACCATTTGCCTTAGAATTTGATTTAGTTTAATGGTTGGAGTTATTGAAAGGATAGTTTTTTTTAGCTTTAGTTGATCAAAGGATCATAGTTGATGAAGTGAAAATGATGAGTGCTTTTGGAAATACTTAAGTTTATGGAACAATGTTTTTGGTAAATTGGGTGAAAGGTAGATTTTATAAATATAGTTAGGAAAATTTATAATAACTACGACATGTTTTTATTTAGAAATGATTTTAATGAGAAGTCTTGCTAATATAATCATTTTACTTAATTTGAGAAAAAAGAAAAGAAATGATCTCAGTCTAGCTATATTTTAATATTACAACTATTCCCTGAGGTTAGTATATATCTTATGAATTGTCTCCAGAAGGGGTTTAAATTCTAAAATCGGAACAAATGCCACTGGGACTTGTAATTTAAAAATTTATCACTTTTTGTTTTTCAGAAAGTAACAGCTATATAGTTAAACCTTGAGAAAAGTATTTAAAAGTGACCCCTAAACTTGTTATCATCATTATAATTGTCTACAGACTACATATAATATAGATGATATGGTTCTTCAAAAAAAACCACACACTATTTGGTTTAAGATACCTATTTGACCAGCACCAAGTTCCTGTGCAAACAAATACTGAACGAGACATTTGTTCTTTGTGTACCAGAGTTGGTCCAAAAGGGATGAAATTTTTGAATTCCTGCAGTCCTGATTATCAACCTCCTTTATATCTGATCCTGACTCCAGAACTTGAGATTGACAATACAAGCAAAGATGCAGTCGGCTATAGAATTGTCAATGGTTTGCCACAGGCTGAATCTTATGGATTATCTAAGGTGTGAGTGCTTTTATAAAGCCTATGCATTATGTCAGATGTAGTTATGGTTAAATTGCAAAATTGCTCTCCTTTTATCTAGATAATCTTGTCTCAATGTAGTTTATGTTCGATATCTATGTCTTTAGGCTGAGGATCAGCTTTACAAATTGCTTGTTGAAGAGAGAAGGAAGCTTGCGAGAAACCATGGAACTGCTCCGTGAGTCCCATTTTGTTCCCCTAATTTAGCATTTGTTGTGTCAGTCATAGTTGAAATAAATTCATCTGGTGATCAGAAGTATTTTTTCTTACCGTGTGTATGTGTGTTTGTTTATTAATTAATGTTGTTTTTTTTTTTTTTTTTTTTTT